GAATTGTTGAAATTTTGATGGAGTAGATGTGCTAGTAATTATAAGGAGATCTGTGACACGTCCCACTCCAGGAGAATCTTGATATTTTACCATTAATAACGATTAGGGATGCTAGAAACCAATTCATAAAGAATAATTAATGGCTTTTTTTTAAGGTCTCATGGACAATACCAATTGATGATGTTTCAAAATTCAATATATTCTGGAATGATAGTTTTTAAGTGTTTAGATAAAAGGTGGTCACACATTTATGACTTCATAATTTATTTTTATTTTTTTCTATTGGGTTATTATAGTCTCATGACTCAAATTACAAGTTTGACATGTTAACTCGGGTTGATTTAAATTAATATTTTTTTTATCTTTTTTAATTGATTATTTTTTCAATTTCATCCTTCAATATTATATTTATTGTACATTAAGCTTTATAATTTATTTTGATTTATTTTCAATGACGTTAACATAGTCTCCTTTCATGGCATGCAGATAAACAGATTAACTCGAGTTGATCTGAATTAATCTAATATATTATCATTTTAAAATTTAATCTGACTTGTAGTGCAGTATAGTATATACTGGTAATCTAGTATATACTAATTAGGAATAACATTACATGTTTCTATATCTTTTCTTAAGTACTCACTCGGCTCCCTCTTCTTTTTTATTTGTTAAAGAGAGAGAGAGAGAATCTTGGAGCTTACCTATACCTAAAAATGAAAATTTTTATGGTTATTATTTTTATTATTATTATTCAATAAAAATTTCAATATATATGAAGTTTAATTTTAGTGATAAAATGCATTAATTCTAATATTTGATGGTATTAATTTTCAATGAAAGATTTGATGATCTTAAAACTTTATCAAATAAGAATATTTCAATTTCAGTATATAAAAATTATTATGAATATAATTACTCTGAAGACCTAACAATGGTTACTTCAGGTTGGAGGGTTCCACATCGGCACACCTCCTGTGGCCTCCAGATTTTAAAATGCAACTCGTGAGATGCCGCTGTAAATGGTTGGTATGGCAAAATCGCCGCCCCTTCAAGTCTCTTGAAGATCAATTTACTTCCCAAAACATAAGACCAGGAAATGGTAAATTGTTTTTTTTTTAAATTAAAAACTGATGATAAATTGTTTGAATCTGTCAATTTTGGATGGTCCCATAGTCACCAAAAACTAACGGCATGGACAAACACTTGCACTATCGAGCTACTTACGAGCTAGTTGTCCGAATTCGGTGCTGAGGCGGACACGAGAAAGAAGAAAAAAGGTTTACTGGTCGGAATGACTGGATAGACGACTTCCGAAGCTTATTGCATTAGTATTCACGAGTCTACAAAAATGATGTGATTATAAAATAAAAAAATAAAAAAAGAGTCTTGCATTGGAAGAAAAAAGAGATGCAATGGTGATAAATGCACCCTTAGATTTGATCAAGCAAGCCAATTGGTTCATTATTTACACACATCTATCCTATGTCAGAAGCATAAATAAGACTTCCGAGGTAATAAGTGTATAATTTTAAAGATGAAAATTCCAACTTTAAGCATCACAAGCTATAATATATATTACTACAATTTTATATACGTTGTAATATTTAATATTATTTTTTTAAAAATCAATAATAAATATATAATTATTTACAAGATTGTTTTCATTTAATAACTAAAAAAGCATTTATATTTTATATTCAATAAATTAAAAAAAAAACTTTCTCCATCTTCTTCCCCTCCACACCAAACCTAGTCATAATCTTCCATTTTCTTTGATCTCTCACCAACCACCATCCTCAACAACAATCTCACCAAATTGTAAGGGACTAGATATATTATACGCAGTAAACAACAATATTGGCATGTTGTTCGGTAACCCCTTAATCCTGTTAAGTGAGTTCATCAGTAATTGAAAAAACAAAAAAAAAAAACCTATAAATCTATTTCAAATAAGTCCAACAGCTTTGGAATAACGATCTTGAGATTTCTTTATGAAAGACTTCTCCTCCATCCTCGGGTTGACAACTGACAATGTGAAGGGTGATTTTTCCATGTTTTTATTTTAAAAGATAAAACACCGAGTCACTTCTTGGTTCAACCAAATTGATTTGATTGGATTCCTTAAAATGCAATTTTTGAAATTAATTCAATTACATAGTAGAATCTTTGAGTTTTTAGTTGGATTTTATAAATACATGGATTATTTTATTTTTGCATGTTTTTTTTATTTTTTTTAATTATAAATATCTAGACCCCCTTTCACATATCTCGATTAATTTTTTAAAACTTAAAATTAATAATAATATAAATTTTTAATAATTTTAAAATTTATAGCATTCAAATTAATAACTTTTAATACCAAACACTGTAAATTGAGTTATATCCCACATAATTATACCTTTTCTTTTCTTATTTGGCTAGTAGATCTTCCTCTTTTCAGTGTATCCTATTTCTTACAAGTAGGTTAGGTTACAACAGAAGAAAGCCACTGAAAACGCGTGCTGGCTAGCACATATATAAATATTGCAGCCGGCGCAAGTAATTGATCACATGCAGTCGTCTCAGCTCCAAGGATTTAATAATTTAATGGTCACGGTGGCACCCTAATAGCTCTAAAGCTTATGGTTACCAGAAATAAGAAAGGTCCAGTGGGTCGTGCTCGTGCAAGAAGCAGCACCGCCGACTCTCGAGGCAAGAACATTGTCACTTTAATGCATGGATGAGGACCACCAACTTTATCGGAAGTTAACTTGAAACTTCCAAAGAAACGCTGAATTCCTGGGAAAGGGAAGTGTGCCTGTCATGCTGCTGAGAGCAAAGGGTCAGAAAGGAAACAAACAAGGCAATAATTTAATGAGCCTCGTGTTAAAACTTCCCATATAGGAGGCTCTAACACCCTGTAAAAAGCTGGACAATCATTTAGATTCCACTCCACTATGCAGAGGTCTGTCTCTACAATAATTTTACTGGTTTTTCCTTCTCGCGTTGGGGACAAGATTTTTAGTCTTTTGAAGTGGACATGAGTAATTATGAACAACTCGCTGGCCTCGTTTGTCTTTCCAAACTTGGATGTCTCCTTGGATTAGATCATCCCTAGATTTTCTGTGTCGAGAACTAGGGCCTTAAATTGTCAATAATAGGCCATACAGCAATGGTAGTGGCTTCTCTTTCCATTCCAAGATGTCTTCATTAATTCTCTCCAGTGGTTGTTCTGCAAATACAATGTTCAATCATATGAATTATCTATTCATTAATTTTGTTTTAACGCCAGATATTCATTCAATTTGGACCATAAAGGGTCAGTGTCCCTGGGCCACACACATTAGACAAGGAAAATATCCCAACTTGAATCAGATTAGTCAAAGATGGAGTTCTCCACAATCTATTCTTTCTTATAATTCCACAGTCAAAAGATGAATTTAATCGATAAATCTTTCTATGGAAAGCAGGAGGAGAAACTTGTGGCCTGGAGTTTTCCGATAATCTTCACCGAGGCACTCGTTGAGCTTCTTGTTCACCACTTTCTTGTATGACAGCGGCCATGGTATTCTTTTAGGAGGTTCTTTACTTTAAGGTCAAGACATCCATAAGCCTAGATAGTATTTGACCAGACTCCTTTCTCTGTATTGTCAAAAGGTTTTGCTCCTGTTTTTATACACAAAAGAAATGCCCTAAAACCGATTCTTATCGATTGTGAATATAAACATTAAATCTAGATTTCATAATTTAGATAATGGATGCGGTTCGCGCCTAAAGTTGGAACATGATGAACTCGATAGGTTACGCGTGTTTGTCACCTATGCACTCACTCAAAAGCATAATTCTAGACCAGGATGCTAATTGCAATGCAAAACCTACAGTAAACTTTTAAGCCAATCTCGTTGGATCAATGATTGAGGGAGTGGTCTAAAAGTGGTGGCGTTGCATTTCTTTCTCTTCATCTATCTTTCCAAATGTTTAGATCAAATTGAAGTCTCTTAAAAGTGATTCGTAAATATGCTTTAGGCGAAAAAAGACGAGTTGTGCGTCATATAACCACCAATACCTTTATCAACTGCAGAGTCGTCCAGGAATTACAGAGAAAAAAATAAAACTAGATTGAGGAAACAGAAACATCAATCATTTTTTAATGGAAGGTTAGCAAGTTGAATGGGATTCTCTTAATGCGAGAACTGAGTGCGAGAGTGAGCAATGCTTGCAGGTAAGCTGCGTATTCATTTCCAGCCAAGCCAATGCAAGGAGAGACCTGAGCATGTGGGATTGGGATGGCTTTGGACCCCATGATCATTGTCTGATATAAGATTAAAAATCGCGCCTGTCACCCTGTACCAGCAGCTGAACTGCTACTCTGGCAGCAATCGGAAGGTTCATATCTTCTGTTACGTTATTTGTTTCTTTGTTAGTTTGTTTCTGGGGGATGGTACAAAATACAATTCATAGCATTATTGAAGCTTGAGCTATTTACGTTGGGGACTCGCTATACACGTCAACTAGTTCTCGTTTACAATAATTGGCAATTCTAAAAATTACGGTGCGGTGCAAGGTATATTGGGCACCTTGTAATGCTGGTGTTGAAGGCATGAAAGAATGGACAAGGCTCAAGGGAAATCTCATAATCCAAGGAACAATCAAACCAGTTGATTTTATGTCTGGTGCAACAGGGAATGTCGGGGGAAAAATGAAGTGTAAAACCAGTTAATGCCAAGTAGAATATATGAACAGGGACCTTTTCAAGCTAGATTCTTTCTTTCATCTGAAGATTTTCAACTACTTAAAGCAATCTAGCATTGCACAAACGAATGATTCGTAACATTGTTTTTCCCTTTCCTATGCAACTCCTTGATGGTATCAATGCTTTAGACTGTCTTCTTAGCATTATAATTTAAACTTCAGCAGAATAACACATACTGAAGCAAAATCATGGAAAACACGTATCAAAAGTGAAAACTACACTTGCGAAATGATCATCAGAAAACACATCCTAATAAACCAGAACATCATGCAGAACAAAACATTATAAGACAATGCAACAGGTAATACCAATTTATAAGTAGTGTGACCAATTCAACAAAGCACTTTACGTATGACATAAACCAAATTAACCATTTAAAAAAAAAACAACAAAAAAGATAAAATGATAGGTTATGGTGCTCATCGTATAAGCATTCTGCTCCATAAGAACTCACCATTAAGCTTTCCTTCACACGCTTCAACAAGTTTAACAGCATCATGTGATTATTCTAGAATGGAGTCACCATTTCCATCTGCTTTCTTCCTGAAGAGAACTGCAACAACCAAAACAGCAACATAACTGCAACAGCCATCCAAGTCCCTTAACCAAAACATGGAAAGAAGCTTGCAGGACCTGCTATCTTAGATGTCCATAGAGGAATCATTGGAACTGGGAGGATTAGGATCCCTGTTATGGTGTTGAAGAAAGTTGGGCTCATTGTTGCGGGTTCCATTTCCTGAGGGTGAGCCACCTTGCAGACAGTAGCCTCCCTGAGTAATGTGATAGTTCTGGAGACTCCGGCGAATGGGGCTCGACAAAGCATTTGAGAAAACTGTATTCTTGGGTTGTTGATCACAGTGTTCAGAACGAGTGCCCTGAGCAGTAGCTGTTAGGCCAGATGAACCTGAAGAAACCAGAAAGGTGGAATTTGTGAATGGAATAGGTTGGGAAGTCTGATGTTGATGTGGCGTTCTAGGGGACATTGATGGTTCTTCTCCACAAAAGTCCAGTTCATTCTGCGTCAAGACCATAGCATTTCTCAATTTTAAATAAAATCAAGTTATTATCAATACGCATACAAGACAATCCACTTCATTTCAGATCTCAACTAAACAATAAACATGGATAAGTTAAATAGCCAACAAAGAACTGTCTTAGCCACTCATAACACACACAGTCACACACACACATGTGCATCCAAAAAAGGAACATAAAACCCAGAAAAACAAAAAGATAAGAAAAAAATAATAATAAAAATAAATAAATAAACCAAGCCTATTAGACATACACCAATATTCATTGGATAGCTGTGTAAAGAAACATCTCTGTTACACTAGTGCTCAAATAAGAAGGTTTTACTTGTTCAGGTGACTGGAATGCAATTAATATTAATTGACAATCGAGTTGATCAAATCCTCTTTTATGCAGTGTTTGCAAACAAAGCTCAAGTAAAAAAAGTTTTACAGTGTTTCAAGTGGCTGGAGCATGATTAATTTTTTAATTGACATTAAATAAATAAAATTATGTTATATGCAGCCTTGGCAAATAAAGCCTCTAGCTGTGCGCATGCCTAAGTCTCACACATAGATCGAAACCCAAACTCCAATCTCTTCCAAAGTAGCAAAAGTAAGTCCTGCGATATTTTAAAACAAGTAAATCACATTCCAGATTAAATGCAAACCAATACTTCAAATTCCTTCTGATGTTTCAAACTGGGAAAATATGATGCAGCATACAAGTTTCTCTTTAACATGGCTTTCACGTGTCTTCCATTGGAGAAGATAAGATAACCAACGCATTAGATGCACTATTAGCTCTACAAAATAAACAATAGGTTTTTCAAATGCCAATTGCAACAGAACTCATTGCATTCACAATATCCCTGTTTTTGATGAAATTTTCTAGGCATTCTGTTATTTGGTAATGCAGCACTGTATCCAGCAGTGTTAAGGAGAGCTGTCTCCTGGAGCAGGAAAACAAATTAGAGGATTTAAGGTTATCTTATAAAACAAATTAATATTTTGGTGCATCACATTTTATTTATTGTTATTGTTGGCCTCATACTACTTATAGAATAGCCTGTATAATAGCTAGATCTCCTATACCAAGAAACGGAAAAAATTGAAAGACAGTTATCAGACACATCTTAGACAGTCAACGACAAAGTTCATCTTCATGTGCTACTGTAGATGTAAAATTACCATGTTGTACATGAAGATGTTCTCAGTATCATGATGAACAATGAATTCCAGGGAGACTATCACTCTAACTTTTAAACAGATATCTCATAATCTAACTGTTGTTTTGGAGCTAAGGAAGTGCCACTATCATTTACACAAGCACAGGAGGCAAGCATATGTGCATGTTGGATATGTCAGTATGCACACAAATGGTCGATTGCAATAAATCAGGCAAAAAGAAATAACTGATACCAACCTGTATGTAATTGATTATATCAACTGTTGCCACTCGAGAACCTCCCTCTTGTTGTCTCCAAATCCATTGATAAAGTTTTTCCTGAAAACAATGAGAGAAGGCTATATCAGAAAAACATCATTCAACAAGAGAACTAAGCTAGTAAGACATTAACAAGGGTCAGTGGATAAAGTCTGATTGGGAGGATATATATAATGTGACAGCTTAAATGGCATTCACCAAGCAACAACCTTCCAATTTAAAGCATCAAGAGAACAAGAGCATCATCAAGAACATGTGTTCTGGGTTATTCCATTGACTCTAATAAGAGAAAAGTTTTATCGACACTGAGTGTGTAGCATGTAGTGTGTAGTTGTTGTGTGCAGGTATAGGTAATGGTATATAATTTGTTTAATCTTCATTTTAGAGTATCTCTATCCCACTGTATTTTCAACTCTGCATAGAGGAAAAGAGCAGTGGGCTAGATTGGAAAAGAAGATAATTGTTCTTAATGTTATAGGCATTTAATTGGTGAAATACCATGCTGAGCTGAATATATTATCTTAAAGTTGAAAAGAACAAAACAGATTTGAATGCAAAAACAAAACTGACCATACAATTGCCCTTCAATCATTTTCACAACCAACCAATAAGTTTAATCCTTACAGTTTAACATGAAACACCATGAGCTAATCTCAAACACAGCAAAACTTCTTAGTTTTGAACCAACACCACCACCAAGCTCCCTAAACACTCTCAATAAGGAATAAACATCTCTAGACTACTTCATCGCTTGCTCAATGTCGATATTCCTAGTTAATGTCTCACTTATGCCAAAAGCATTTCTGGACTGAGTGAGTTATATGAATAAAACTGACAAAAATTGGTTCAAGGGCTCATGCTCAACGACGTAAAAGATAGATGAGAAGTAAGGAAACAGCTTCAGACACAAGAGAATGCAATGATAAAATATGTACACCATCTCGGGAAAAAGTTAGTGATCATAATGTCAGACAAGAATCAACACAGAACACCTACAAAATGATCAATGCAAAGAAGGACCACCTTTAATGGCTTTTCTAATAAATCCATAATACTCCTCTAACGAGTTGGTGCTTAATCTAACTGGTGTAGGTGATCCCGTTCCCTAAACTTAGTATTATCCAGCCTCAAGATTTCACTATAGGAAAAGGATTTTAAACTTCCACGTGAAAAATAGAAAGGTTGCACCTTACATGCTTAATAAGGAAAAGTACAAAATGAAAACTATAACAAAGATTTGTTTCAATTTCAAAAATTTGTATTTCTTTGATAATGTTAACTTATAGTGCCAGTAAGCTTCATCACACATAAATTACAGTCCACATTTTCTTTTCTAGCTCTTCCATAATTTTTTGTCCACTGCCAACAATCAACGAGTTGCTATCATCCAAGACTTTGTGAAAAAATGTCCAATCTTTGGGCCGAAGCCAATCTATAAGAACTCCATTTTCAAGCTTCTCCAATCTTCCCAAAACAGACAAGTTCCAGACCAACGAGAACTGCTTTCCTTTTGTCTTTCAGAGTACCAAAAAGTCTATTCTTTGACACCCATTGATCCAAAATTATAGGAATGTGTTTTTTAATCTAGTCTTATGCTGGTGTTCTAACAGCCCCATCCTCTTAATTTATTAGAAAACAAACTCCACAAAAACTATCTATTTTCTTGTCAAAGTATTGAACTATTTCATGTCTCTCACTGATAGATATCACATTTCAAAACAACACTTTCTCAACATCAAAGTATCACGCAACGCCACAACTTGGAAACAAATGCGAGTTCCTCCACCACCAATTAGGCTAATTATGCTCTTGTATCACCATTTACAATTAAAACCATTAGGACTTTCCATGCTGACATGTAGCTTCACGACAAACCTCTCGTAGTTATGAGTGCTTCACAGCCATCAGCAATTTCTCCAAAGAGGAAAATGAATCTTATAGCACAGATGAGCAAATTCATAATCAAGAGCAAAAACACTGCAACAACTCCAATTTAAAAGTTAACCCCCTAAAAGATTAAAACTTTATTTCAGTCAAGATTATATTGTTTCTCTCCCACACAAAGCATCCAAATAGTCAAAATACCCACATCCCACTTGCTTCCTTAAACGGGAATGGTAGGAAAAAAATTTGATGCTTTGATCAGTCTACCTCCTCAACAGTCGAATTACAATGACAATCTATTCAAAGCACAAGCCAATCAGAAACAAGTGAAAAAGCAAAGTGCCTAGTTCAATTGAAATGATAATTTACAACAACAATTAGCAGAAACTAAAATACCATACCATAACTTCAATGTGAATCCATTAACAAAACCGCATAATGTATCTATCTAGCCATTAAACTTTACAATTAACTCAGAATCGAGCAGCCCATTTAAGTTCACAACAAAAATCGAAATGGGTAACCTTTAAACTAGACTAACAATAATAATAATATATATATATATAAACAAATTCAGTGACCCAACAAAAGGACAACAAAGAGACACAAGCTTGATTGATTAAAAAACAATAACTTTTCCACAAAGAAGAACAACCCCACAAGGAACACATATACACAAAGAACAAGCTGGTATTCTTTAGAGCAAAGAGATAACGAGGGAATCTTACAAGGCCTTGACGTTCACCGGCTTGGAAGGAGAGTTTTTGGTGGTTCATAGACTGTGTATAAAGCTGAGACAGAGAGTTTGCAGCACTGCAAAACGACGCGTACATGGTCCGATCCACCTCGTCCAGGCTTGTTGCTATGGATTTTCTCTTCTTTCCCATCGTTAATAACAGTTAATTAATTAGATTTTAATTTACAGAGACAGATTGATTTTATAATTTAGCTTAGGTTACTTCTTTTTTTGTCGGCTAAAAAAAGGAAAAGATAAATAGAGAGGGTCTCGTCTCTCCTTTTCTCTCTAGAGAAGAGGAGGATGTGGTGTTTTTGGAGAGATGAAAAGGGTATATGGTAAGGATGGTAGGTGCTGATGACACAGTATGTGGACCACTGTCCCCGCCCATAGTAAGCAATGCCCTTGTGCCATTTACATACCAACTCGTGCGGCCTTTTTCACCGTGCCTTTTGTCACATGGGCAAATTTTTCGCTCAAATTTCAGCCCTGATTTGGCAGTATAGAGCTGTTTAGTATTTTTAATGGTGGTTACTTAATATATATATATATTGAAATATTTTTTTATTTTTTTAAATTTATTGTTGATATTAACCTATCAAAACAATTTAAAAATATTCTAAAAATTAATTTAAAATAAAAAAATATTTTTTTATCAAAACACTTTCCAATCACAAAAATAAATAAAATCTTAGTTTTTCCTCTTTGTTTTGTTGATGTTTACTTGTACTCGTAGAAAGAGCTTCTCCCCACACTTTTACATGTCATAAGCAAGCAAGAATCACAATAGCAAAAAAATTAAACTTATGCAGAACAATTACAAGAAAATTTCCAACATTTTATTAACTCAACAATAAGATATATATACACCCGATTGTGTGTTGTTCACAAAACTCGCATAATACATATGAAAACATTACAATTTTATTTATAGATGAATTACAAGAAAATTATCACTCTAATTTCTAATAAATAGTGGATAGTATCTCTCATGTTTTCTATAAATATAATGGCACCCTTCTCTAGTAAGTTTGCCCATAAACTTAGTGGTTTCATTTTCTAGCAAATTTTCCCAATGTTCTCCATAACTTTAGTGGCTTATAGAGCATTCTCAATCATATCCCATATTAATAAGCACATCAACCTTATTTTTGCTAGTTTTCTCTTGTAACTAGACATGTTTATAACTGTAATAACTTTTTATAACATTTTCATAATCATTAGCCACAAACTCACTATTAGTCTACCAAACTTATGCTGCTAAAACTATTATGTTTTCTACTTACTTTGGACTATCCATCATTCAAGTCTAGTTCGTGCCAAGTCAACCCCTTGACTTGGACAAACTATTGTACATTACCTATCAATTTTATTAATATTCATATAAGTTGTCATAGTTGTTAGCATTTTTTAGGTGGTGTGCTTTTGTTAGCGTACTTTCATATCTAAACCTTTGAAAAACCACCCCCGCCAAAAGAGTTTGAAAGTGAGGTTTTATTGTATTTTTCTTTTAAATTACCACAAATCAGTATCTTTCTCCTATAAAACCTCATAGGTTTTCTCTTATTTTAAAAAGAACTCAATTTTTGAATTTTTCTTACACTGGTTAAGTCTTCGATGATCCAAAGTTTTGATGACTCTGTTGTCAAATTTTTTTCAAATTGTTAGAGTTACATATTGTGACTTACTCCTCTCAAATTTTATTAATCTTTATGGAATGGTTTTAAGTAGCTTACATGAAATGTGAGGTGAAACTTTAGCTACTCTAACAACTTCAATCTATATACCATAGCTCCTATTTTTTTTCATAATTTCAAATGCCTCATCATATCTCGACATCAACTTTTCGATGCCTTGTTTTTTCAATAATATTTTTTCAAATTTGAAAAGTCAATTAAAGTAACACCTTATCACATTCATTGAAATCTAATACTCCTTTTTATATCTATATACTTTTACATCATATCTTGTTTTATATAAGTTATATTGCACTTGTTCAAACAGTTGTTATATTTTCCTAGAAAATTTATGTATGGGCAGACTTTTACCACTAGATTTATGCATTGTAATCTTTATGAGTGTTTAGGGTTGTGCCCTAACACCAACTTGAATAGGTTTGCTTTAATTGCAAAAAACTTGTGGAGATTGTAGAAAAAAAAATATATTGCCCAACAACTCCAACGCTTCATTATTATTATGTAATGTCTCTAGTGTTCCTTTAACAAAGCATTGATCCTTTCAATCTGTTAATCGATTTGAGGATGGTTATCAGTAGAGAACTTCATTTAAGTCCCCGTCAAGCTAAATGGTATTGCCCAAAATATACCTATAAAATATATATTATGATCATTAACAATATCCCAAAAACTGCAAAATATTTCATTATATTTCTTTAAAACAACCCAACATCAACCTTAGTCATACACATTCTTGAAGCATCAATAAACAATGTGCACTTAATGGATCTATCTACAACTACCATTATAATATTCATGCCTTCAACTCATGAAAAACCTTACAATGAAATTAAACCCAAGGTTTTTTTTCTAGAATATATAGTGGTTGTAATAAACATATTATTTTCTACCATAAATTATCTTATTGGCACACAAGATAAATTTTTAAGTATAAATCTACATCTCCTTTCATATTTTGCCAATGGTAAGTTTGGGACAAAAAAAAAGCCTATATCATTTCCCTCTCTAGGTAGATATAAATATTTTTGTGGTTTCATACTTAGCACATAAATTCAATCTTTTTTTACATAAAGAAGGTTATTTTATAACCAATATTTTAATATCATTCCTTATCGTATAAGATCAACTAGCTTTTTATATGTTATATCTTCTGTAATAGCATGACAAAGTTGTTTTAATATGTTAGACTCCACTTATATAATAGCAAAAAATAGTAGCACGAACATAACTCCAACTCAAAATATTCACAACCTAATTATGTTTTCTTGACTTGTGATCCTATACAAAGTTATACTCTATTAGTAATTCTTTCCATCGAGTTTGTCACTATGATAACTTCTTTTAGGTCTTGAAAAAAAATGCTTGTTATGTTATCTATCTTTATTATAAATTTTATCCCCTACAAGTACACCTTCCACATACCAAGATAATACAATATCATAATCATCTTTTTTTCATGTGTCAAGTATTTTTTCTTGGTCTTATTTAATTTCTTACTCTAGAATGCCATTAGATGTCCAACTTGTATTAGAACCGTACTAATGGTTTTATCTGAAGCATTAGTATGTACTTCAAAAAATCTATCAAAACTTAGCAGTCTCAACACTAGATAAAACATCATTATTTTTATTAATATCTTAAAAACTCTTTGACACTCAACAAGTCATTCTCACCTTTTATTATTCTTTGATAATTTTAAAAGAAGGCTTTTCTTTTGACTATAACTTTTAATAAACTATCATTGGTGGTTTGTAAGTTCTATAAAGGATCACAACTCTAAAACTATCTTTTATGTTAGCCAATTAAAAATAGCCTGCACTTTATTAAGAACCATTCTCACTTAACTCTCCCGAACTTAATGACCCATGAAGATAATTTCAAATATTGCAAACTTATTTTTTGTCTTTACATATAACTCTTGTTCATAAAATCCATGTAGAATTTATATACATAGAACTTTTTTTAAAATGCATTATATGATCTTCAATTACCCTACCCTGGATTACAATATCATTCAAATAAATTATGACAAAGTTATCTAAATAATCATACACTATATTATTTATAATGTTACAAAAAAATTGTTGGGGTATTTGTTAAATCAAATAACGTACCTAAAAAGTTATATGCATTATACTTTGTTACACATGTAGTCTTATCTTCATCACCCCTGATAATTTGCATTTACCCATATCTAGACCACAAGTTCACCTTTGTAAATATGAATTCCTATATAATATATCCATAAAATCCTGAATTAAAAAAAATTTAATATTTATTCTTGATCGTCACCTTATTAAGTGATCGATAATCCAAACACATTCAAAGTCTCCAATCTGTATTTTCTTATAATAAACTTGGAGTACCATATAGAGCTATAGAATGATCAATGAATTTAATGTCAATCAACTATTTTCTCACTTTTACTAACTTTATTTGTGATATTTAGTATGAAGGATGAGTTAATAGCTCAACTATTGATAGTAATTGTATTCGATGATCAATCTTAGTCCTTGGTGGATGTTGTTTTAGAGGTTTTAAAGATATTATATCTTTGTATTATTCTAACACATCAGCAATAAAACTTGGGAGCTTTGCACACTAATCCATTTTCTCTATCCACCAAACTTTTTATATCATTAATGTTATTTTTCATCAAAAATTTATAGCATGGAATAAATATAAAGACACATTCACTAGAAATCATGATGCCATTGAGGTATGGCATTAAAGTTATTTTGACCTTATTCAAAAAAAATCAAGGCCAAGAATAATGTCAAAACCATCTAAATTCATCATCAACATATCTTGTCTTCATTTCCATTGATATAGGACTATCGATATATTGTAGGTCTTGCCTAATATTTTTTATGCCTTTATATTTACTACAATTATCATGATATGACTGTTTCTAACTCACATATTAAGTTTTTTCACCAACTTGTCAACCACAAAAAGATAGATCACACCCAAATCTAATATTATATTAACATCCTTATCATTTATTATAATTCTAACATAAATAAGATTATTTAAAGCTCTTGGATTTCTTTTATGTTATGTTAATTTATGTTAAGTCTTGCTCAACAATACTAGATTTGTTGGTCAAATCCATTAACTTGGCTATTAAACAACTCAGCTCACACATGGGATTTATATTGTGACTACTTTATCACTATTGCTAATTAAGATGACATTCAAATTCTTCTTCTTTAAATATTCCCTCATGAAGTATGATTTTTCATAAATAAAATTGTCTAAGTTTGGTTTGACATCCTTTATTTTCCCACCTAATTGTTTAGCCTTGTCTTTATCAATAACAAACTTAGATGCACCCCACCAAACTTTTTCTTTCTTTTTTACTCCTTTTCCTTTTGTCTTGGATTCTAAGAAACAGACTACAACATGACCCTCTCTTATGATAGGTTTAAAGTCCACCACACCATTGACAACAACAATGATAAAGGATAAATCTTTCATTTTTTGTCATCTCAACTCAATATATGACCATTGTTATAGTCTCAACATAAAATTAAACAGCTTTTTTTTTCAATATATTTTTAATATTGATATTTAGAGAATTAAGCATATTCTTGAATTAACTTATCTTACTTTAAGATCTCCAATTCATCTTATTCCAGCTAGGAAGTATTATTCGGCAGGAATTGTTCTTTCAATTTTTATTTCAAATGCTTCATGTCTTAATTTTAGAGCATCCAACATTTAAGTTCTTCTTAATTCTTATTTTGTTATCACAACTTTGCATTACATGTAAGTTACTTTACAATGATTTTGATTTGCTCATCCACACTGATCTTGGCCATGCTAAATTATTATTTTGAGTCCCAAAGATAGTTTTCAAGTTTCTTAAAACTTCTCACCTTATAAAAATATTTGGTTTAATTTAACCTTATAAGTATTTACCTCAATATAAGTGTTTTCCACTGCTTTCTATATGGCTTGCAATTTTTTTTTTAGTTTTTGCTGCCAAATTAATATACAAAATTTTAGTCTTTTCAGCATTTTTGATGGCTTCTTGTCACTTATCTTTGATAAAGCAAACTTCATCCTCTAAAATTGACGTATTAGACTTTGAAGTGTTGTCAGTCTCTACTAAATAGTTTTCATTATTGGCATAAGAATTTGGATTGCATAATTTTAAATGTAAATATGCTTTGATATAACTTATTATAAAGATAATTTTTTTATTTAAATCTTATCCTCTATACAACAATGTAATCCCACTAAACTTAGTTTTTCCTCATTATTTCACTAATATTGATAATTTTTTTACTTAAATCTTAGCCTCTATACAACAATGTAATCCCATTAAACTCAGTTTTTCCTCACTATTTCATTAATATTTACCTACAACTAGGTGTTCAGTCAACAAAAAAGGTTATCCCCACACTCATACTTGTTATTAGCAAGTGAAATTTACACAAGTAAAGAAACAAAATTATACACAATAATTACAAGAAGATCCCCAACCTTTTAATAACTTAACAAAAGGATATACACAAATATGATCATGTGTGTGCTATGCACAAAACTTGTACTCTATATAGCAAAAAAGTTGTGAAAATTAGTTTGTGCATAATCAGGCTAATTTGAAAGTTTATTTATTGAAATTGGTTTGTTATTATAATTATATAATTGAGATTGGTTTGAATTAAAAGTGCCAAGTTGATTGAATCTATATTAATTTTGAGTTACTGAGTTCTTTTCAATTAGCGATTGGTTTGTTTGGTTTAGTTCTAAATTGAATTCAGGTTGTTATTGAATTTGGTTTTTTATATTAATTGGGTTTGAGTACAAATAAGAAAGGAAATATCTTCATCTCATAAAAGATTTAAGTTATAGTATAAAGGAGATTGTGATGATTCAATGTCAAATCTTTTTTAGAAAAGAGGGAATGATGATAACCATCAAGTAACATCATATGATTCATTACATATGTTAATTTGGTCTAGTACAAGGTTAAAAAATATGGTGATTAAAGAAACATTCAATGGGTAACTCAATATATTTGAGCCTTATTTTCTATAAAAGTTATAAATTCAACTTGTTTTTCTACTTACACATGGATTAGACTTATTTTTTTAATGTCCAGTTTTTTTGTTAATAAGAATAATTTTTTAATTTGATCATTGGATAAGGTTGAAAATTTTTGGTTAAAGATTTTAAAGACTATGTTTTTTATTAGGTTAAAATTTCATAGTAATCAAACATTGAGAAGGCCTTACGATAAATCCTATAATTTATTGTTCAGGATTTATAATATTTTCCTTAATGATTTAAGATTCTTTTCTCTATTTTATTTAGAACTCTTGTGTTATTTTTTTAGTCTTATTTAGAATGTTTTACCTAGTATATATAGGATTTTTTAACTTGTATTTAGGGAGATGGATTGATTATTCAAAAATAAAACTTATTTTAGAGAGTTTACTCATATGCTTTGTTCTTTATGGAACTTTAAAAAATTATCAATGATTTTTTATTTATGGTGTTCATCCTTATATCTTCGATTCTTGGTTTGTTATAATCAATGGGTTGAGTTTTTCAACTTTTTACCATAAGTTTTTGATTCTTTATAATTAACGGGTTATAATTTTCATTTAATAACTACAATTCTTTGATTCAGGTAATCACTTGGTCATATTCTTTTCAACTTGGTTTTAGCTTTCTTATGTAATGTTCAGTTTAAGTTCTTGTTATCTGGGTTTGCATAAATTTATGGTATTAGAGTTTTCTCTAAAATCAGGTTTTATCTATCTATATTTAAATTTTGCTTTTGTTTTTGTTCTGAGTCTTGTTTTCTTTGTTAGGTTTAGTTGTTTGTTAAAATTATTGAGTCTTAGTTCTTGTGTCTTAAATTTCAACTTATTATATGATTTAGCTTAGTGCTGCGTTTTCTTTAAATTATATATAAAATAAAAGGAGAAAAGTTATCTAGTATTTATGTGTATGTGTAATCACAAATCAAAGTTGTGAAAATTGATTTATGTTTAATCAAGTTGATTTGAAAGTTTATTTATTGAAATTAGTTTGTTATTGGGATTATGGAATTGAGATCAATTTGAATTAAAAATACCAAGTTGATTTTGGGTTGATTAAATCTATACTAGTTTTAGGTTTTTGACTTCTTTTCAATTGGCAATTGGTTTCTTTCGTTTTATTTTTAATTGAATTTGATTTTTGGTATTGATTGAGTTTTGTGCATGTAAGAAAGAAAAGATTTCTAGCCCATAAAAGATTAAATTGTAGTTTAGAGGAGACGATGAGAATCATCAAAAAACAACATAAGATCCATTGTACTTTTTAATTAAACCTATTAAAAGGTCAAGAGTTAAAACGATTAAAGAAGCATTTAATTGAATAATTTAAGATATTTAATTTTTATTTCTTATGAGATTTGTGAATTCAACTCAACTTGTTTTCAACTTATATGATCTAGTGTTGTAGGGAGTTTTTCATTTTCTATGTGTACATTTAATATGATCTTGTATTGCTGGTAAAAAATAACTATGAACTAAAAATTTAATGTGTATATTTTTAATAAAATAAATGTGTAATTATATGTACAAATGAATATATAAAAAAGTTGGTAAAGCTAACTAAAAAATAAGTTGAAAAAATTATGTAATTACATGGAAATAATTTATTTATTTATTTGCAAGAAGAGTAATAATTTAAATTGTATTGAAACAGAATATTTTTCTTGTGTAATCTCTTATTTTTCTATAATATGTTTTTTTAACAAAAAAAAATATAGCTTTCCAAGCTATGTCTTTGCTCTGTAAAAACTAAAAGCAATTAGAATATATATTTTAAATGCTCATGTGAGTTTTTAAAATTTATTTTTTAATTAATTATATGGTAATAAAAAAACATTTACAAGAAAGTCAATGTAATTCTTTGTTTATTTTACCAAATTTTTGTTTATAAAAAGCATAATTTATTGAATAAAAAAGTAAAAACAATTCAAAAAAAAAATTGGCTACAGCTATAAAAACTTGAACTTCATCTTCAGAGAATAAAATATTTTAAAACTTAAGAGTAGAAAACCCTGCAAAAACTACAATTTATATTTCAACGCACCTGAGCTCATCAAGCTGGCTGGCTGGCTACTTGGTTAGTTTTGGCGTGTACGCTTGGGATAAAATTTGTTACTTCGAGTACTTCTCCAGAAAAGGAGAAATAAGAGGAGAGCACCGACTGTGGCAGCCAATAAATTTTCCATAAAATAAAATAGCCAAAAAAAAAGAAAAAAAACCCAGCACAAGTTAGATTTTCAACGAAGATGGTTAGAGGGGTCAAAACAAAAAGTTTGAAGTTTGAAGGACTGAAACGCTATTAAATAAAAGTTCGAGAACCGTCCCTTCGAACCCTCAGGATTTGGTAAGTGTTAACGTTGTTTAGGAGGGGATCGAATTATCAATTATAGTGAAAACCCGTGAATTTAGGTGAAAATCATCTATCATGCTCACTGCTGAACTAGCTAAAAGAAAGCAAAACCACCGCACTGTGGTTGACAAAACGTTTCGATCGTGATTCAGTTGACGACTAGATGCCATGCTATTCGCTTCGGAGGAGGCTAATTTTTTTAATATAAAAAATGATGCTAGGTTGTTAGAAGTATAAGTAACAGTAAATAGATCAAATATTAAAAAATATATATAATACGAATGAACCCCTTGAAAAAATAGTATTACCCCTAATAATAAACTTTGTTAAATTTTTTAAGAAGGGTAAAAGTATAATTATAATGTTTTATTCTAAAAACTTTTGAGCATCTTGAATTTTTTTAATGTTTTTAAATTATTTTAATATATTAATATTAAAAATAATTTTTTAAAAAATATATATTATGATGATATATTTCTAAACAAAAAAAAATTTGAACAATTACTGTTATATTCCTAAATATGCTTTAAGTCCAGAAAAAAAAAAAAAAACAATCCCTTTGAAATCATGTGGACAATAATGTAATCACAAAACATTTATTTCCCATTCGACTTGAATAAATTACTATGAATAATATTCGTGAGACAGAAGAAAATTTTGCAGGGAGCCTAGTCCTATCCTAAAGCATCCCTTTCCCTGATAGGATCGAGTACAAAAATAAAAAATAAAAAATAAGAATTATAGAATCGAGGAGAAAATAATTAGAATCGAATGGCAAGGTTTTCTAATCTCAAATGATTGACAAGTTGCTGGAATTAGCTGCCCTCGTATGCTTAACTTATACTACATAAACGCTTAGACTTTACCATCATGTTCATTGGATTCTGACAAATTACTTTGTTTTTGTTGTCTGCTTGTAGGAAGAGAGAGGCTCCTGCGCTCCTTTCCTCCAGGCTTAGATGAGGCATTGCTATACCAAATCATTCCAGCTACAGCTATGGTCATGCCCAGAACCACATGTAGATTAAGACCATCTTTTCCGAAGAAAAAGAATCCCATGATAAGCACAAGGACTGTCTTCATATGACCAAGTACTTGAAAGGACACGGCGGTGAATCTGCCAATGCAGATGAACTGGCTTAAGTTGGTCCCTACTGCTATGATGCATGATAGAACGATAAACATCTGTACAAACCAAGATCCAGAGAAAAATGTGAGATGGGATTCTGTAAACTTAGGTAAGAAAATTGTGATCACACACAAACAGAACAAGGATTAAACAAATGTAAAAAATTTCCCGTGGCCTTTTATAAGCAAATAAAAGGCGCACACACGTGTATAGCAATTTTATGCAAAGCAATACTGCTACGTAAAAATAGAACAGCAAACACAAGGGGAGTTTATGCAAACGGCAACCCTTAAAAATAAGTAGCGGTATAACTTGTATGCGAGATTCAAAGTCATCATCATACTTGTTAGTAGAAAATGGTCACACTATTATTATGGTTTTTAAGAGTACGCCATAGGCTCTAGGAAATTTTCATAGCAAAAACCAGGGTTGCTTTTCCCTTACTGTTTAACTTTCCTTGTTAAGATTGCATCCCACTAGCTCTTTAGGTACAGATTGCATGCGGATTAACTGCATTGAAACCTCATAATCTTTCTGCTGACAAGGAAAATTAAATTAACACTTTCAAATTGGCTACCCAAATTGGGGTTTGTAAACCCCAACATAGCCCAATCATTCCCTTGTGAGCCAAAATTCAAATTGGAGTGTCCAAGGCAAAAACTAGTTAGAAAACAAATGAAACTATAGACAAACATATAAGCACATCTGGACATCAGAATGATGGGCTACAGCAACAAGCATGTAGACAACTGGAAATACAGATGCACCTATATGACGTTCATGTGATTCCTAAGCAAACATGGGGTACAAAAAAGTGAGCTACTTTACAGCATAAACATGTGGAAAAAAAATGAGCTACTTTACAGCATGCATAATAATCTGCAAGAATGACAAGTGTATCCAGATTACAGCTAAATTACGAAGACGGTAAAAAAAAGAAATCAAATTTTTCTGAATTCTTACCACAGAGACTGCATTGTAGTCATACGTGTCGATTCTTTTGTTTGTCAACCAGTAGTCCAGAAAGGGGCCTAATAATAGCAGCGTTGCAGCCTGGGATGGAGCAGTGTGACCCAAGAGGTTGAAAGAACTTAGTGAATACTTCCTTTGGAGGTAATGTACATACTGCAAGAAATCATTCAACAGAGTTATAAGAGGAGCTGCTTCTGAATGGTATATGCTATTTTAGTGAACTGAATTGGTTAACTCCAAGATTTACAATGATAAAACTTCTTTAAATTGAAATTTAATAGGATAACACATGTAAAAAAAATAGATGTTCATAAACACTTACATACTGTTGCAGAGAAGTGCTCCAAACTGCAATGAAGGCAGCAATGAATCCTTTGGCATTAACACTCACATCAGTGACAGTGCAAACACCAACACCCAAGAGAACAACTCCTATACTCAGCTTTGTATCTCGCGAGTACCGAATCTTGTCAAGCAACACTTCCAACAGGCAGGATACAGGAATTATACTCAGCTTTGCAATCTGACAGTTAAAACAAACATGTGATCAACATTGTTGCAATAAATCGACAGCCAAAAGACAGTATGAAAAATATTTACCTGATAAAATCCCACTGAATTCCACATTAGACTAACATTCATTCCAACAATAGAGAAATTTGCAAAGACAACAAATTTTAAAAGCTCAGGGAAAGGTAGATGAGAAGCTCGGATGTATCCCAACCACCTTAAAACCCCAGTCATCAAGGTCGTGGTAGCGAAATGCATACCAGTTAGTGTCGTGGCTGCAAGAAACCATAAAAAGGAAATATCAAACTACATGTCTCGTGAATGCATAAGCAAATACGAGAAAACATGAGAAGCAAGCTCACCGTAACTAAAACCATAAGTAGCCATTAAGGCTTTATTGACAATGATAATCCCAACAGAAGTGACAACATTGAACATCCAGGCACCCACATCGGCAGCTCCTTTTTTATCAGCCTTGCTAGATGGAGCCATCCTAATTTACTTGTCTCAAAACTTTAGATTTTGAAAAGTTCCAGAACACTTATCCTTGAGCCTCCAAAGGCAACCCCATCCACATTACAATGAGCAACACGCTTCTCTGAAAACATCAAGTATAAATGGAAATCAAAATCATGGTTAGCACATGAGTTGCCAACCATTATTTACTGCTCCTCCATCTCCTAAAGGAAGCTATATTTAGGGTTTAATTAAAATTAGCCTAACAATTTATTTATTTTAAATATGTTTATTTTGGGCAACAGATGTCAATCTCAGTAATAAAAATACTAAGATCTAACTACTACAAGAATCTCCTTAATCAAACAGTAGTTATGAGATCAAGTAATGAAGGACAGATGAGATACGAAAATTCTAAAACAAAAAACCAGATCTGCATTGCGTTACTATTTTTGTGGTCGAAACAGAATTCAACAATTACTACAACAGATCTCACTCTCTGTAAAAATCAGTTGATCCGTCTAAAAGATTACACAATTGTAGTAATTAAATTTTTTTTTGTTTCTTCAGAAAACGTGAATTCTACGGTGTCAAGAAAAAATGCACGTACCGCAAAGAGGAAGCTGGGAGGTAAGGAATGGCGGAGGACGCTATTGGGTGTCCAATTATATGCGTTTTTAAGGAATTTGCGGTCACCCTTTCTTCCCCCCCTTTCTTTATTCTGTTCTTGTTTCTGTTGAAAAGATGAAGATTGGTAGTGAGAGTGGGAATGTGAAGTTCTGTAAACTTGGAGACCCTGACTTCCCTACACATGCCCATCACCTCCAACCAGCTCACCCTCTCAATTTATACTTTTCTTTTCTCCTTTTCAGAGTTGAAATATTACTAGAGATCGTAATATATATATATATACTGATCGGAATATAGATGATACTTAGTCATCGTATCCGGGCTATGCTATTCTATACTGATTTATAAGTATAGGTCACGGAGAGTTGTGTAAGTTAACGGTAATAAAAGTGCAGTAAATTGTGGAATAAATAAAAAAGATAAGACAACAAAATCATTTTAAAAGAGGATTTTTATTTAATTATGCAATAATTAAAATAAATATTTGAAAGGGTTTGAAGTATTAACAATGTGGGAAAAAATACTGAGTATTTAATCAAAATCCTAATTTTTTATTTATGTATTTTTTTTATTAGCAACATGATTTTTTAAATAAAATTCAAGGTAATTAAAATAAGTTTTTACAAGAATTACTGTAAATTCAAATTCATGAGAAAAAAGTATAATTCTTTAGTCAAAATCCATTTTTTTCCTTATTCATTTAAGTTTTTTTAATATGAAACCATGTTTTTTTAAGGAGGAATGAAGCTCCATGAAATCTTTACGTCTCCTCTTGTTTTAGTGACTTTTCTCTCGTTTCTCAACATACACGGTCCTTAACAGAGAAAAATAGTTTCAAGACCAAGATATAAACTCATAAGAGTAAATAGACTAAAAATATACAAATAAAAAAATTTAGGGACTAAATAGACTAAAAATACACAAATAAAAAAATTTAGGGACTATATCAAACCTTGGTAAAGATTTCAAGGAACAAATTAAACTTTTGGCAATGAAGTTTTAAGATTGTAACATCAACATCTAAAATTGCAAGGGTCAGAAATAAATAATTAACAACTTTAGGTCCAAATTAATATATTTTTTTGAGAATATTAAAGATCAAATTGAACTTTTTACTGTATCAATGGACTACAATAGGAGAAAAAATATTTTTTTATTATTGAAATATAAATAACTAAAACTAAAAAGACTAAAAAATATAGAAATTAAAACTATAAAGACCAAACCATAACAAAATAAAATATATATATATATATAGAAGAGGTGGGTGTACATTAAAACATTCACCTCTTTTGTTTTATTAGCAATGCTTAAAATTTAATAAAAAAAAACCTATTTATCAAATCAAATAATTCAAGAATATTTTATATAAAGTACTAAAACAAGTAAATTGTTTGATTAGTTGATATCATCACCAGTTATGCACTACTACTCTCCTCACAATTCATTATAAATTATAGCAATATATTTTTTCAATTTAATTATTAATTTTTTTTAATTTTATCCTTTCATACTTGTTTTTTTTTGTGTATTTTAGTATATATTTTTTATGAAGGTTTTTGAAACTTGATCGATAGTCAATTTAATAAGATACTTTTGAGATTTGCAGCATTATGATCAAATTAAAACAAAAAATAAAGATCAAACCAAGAAATCAGTGAAAACAACATAGAAATCCACAAAGTTGCTAATGAAATACGAGCACAACAAAGTACTTAACCAACAATATACATTCATATCTTGATAACATTAAAGTAAATCAAAATAATTTCATTGCTAATTAAGAGAAGTTCATAGTATAAAAGGTTCGTAGGGCTAGGGCTAGGGCTAATAAGAAATATGGGAAGTTAAATCTCCATAACTATACGCAAGAATATATGCTCAAGAGGCAAAGCATAAGGGCAACATGGTTAAGAGAAGTTCATAGTATAAAAGGTTCATAGGACTAGGGCTAGGGCTAGTAAGAAATATGGGAAGTTAAATCTCCGTAACTATGCGCAAGAACATATACTCAAGAGGCAAAGCATAAGGGCAACATGGAAGTAGACAAAAATTACACATGCACATAACCTTGTCGTAAGCAAAAGGTAAAGAAAACTTGAGCATCCACCCACCTAAAGTTCTGATCATCATAGAGGGATTGAAATGATGTTGGAGCCATGGTGTATGGACTCAATATTTATTTTGTGTGTTTCACCCAATATATGCAGGCATACTAACAGCCACATTCTTAACCATAATTTTCTGGACAAATTGATTACATAAATTTTGTTCTTAGGGATGGTGTATGGACTCAATATTTATTTTGTATGTTTCACCCAAAATATGCAGGCACACTAACAACCACATTCTTAACCATAACTTTCTGGACAAATTAATTACATAAATTTTGTTCTTAGTGTTCAGTTTTTTTATTAAAAAATAAAGAGTGATGTTTCAAGAGAGAAGATAAGAGGAGAGAGTTTTAAGTATGTGATGTTGTTTTCATGGTTTCTTTCATGTATTATATATGAGTTTTTTTTTTAATATTATTTGTTTGATCGAGGATAAAGAATAATTTTTGAAAGTATATATCCAAACGCAATCAAATTAAGAGTTTTTTATTTCAATTAATTTTAAAATAAAATTATTTGTTTATTTATAATTAGTCCACATATTTTTTATTAACTTTGTTTTAGATCTGTTTAGTTTTTTAAATTTGTATGAAGTTAGTAGGTTTTTTTATGAGAAAAGTTTTAGGTTTTTGTTTAATCTTTATATTGTAGGAAAACAAGTAGATTAGGGTCACTAAAAAATAAATTTTGGTTTGATTTTATATATTTTTTAATTAATTTAGATGTGTTTTGAATTAAAAGATTGATTTGTTAATGTTACAATAGTGTTTATTAAATGAAAATATATTCAAAATTAAATATTTGTGTCTAAAACCCCCTAACCTAATAACATTTAGATGATGGAGACAAATGACATCCATCTACTAGGTCGGAAAAAAATAAAAAAAGGCATGCAAACATGCATAATCTTACATGACAATGCAGTTGTTTTTTTTTTTAATGTATAGGCATGTCAGGCCACTTAAACCTACTAGTCTAACCTTTATTTTTATTTTATTTTGGTTTCTTTAATTAATTTTTACAACAATAAAAACTTAAAAAATCTATCAAAAATATAATTTATTAAATACTATTTATTTTTTTTATTTTTTAAAATAATATTATAATATTTGTTTCTATCAAATTATGGGCACTCTAATATTCCCACTTGTAGTTATAAAATCATCTCCAATTGGTAGTTGATCTAGAGTTTAGCCATTGGTTTGGAACTAACTCTAATATTCCCACTTGTAGTTATAAAATCATATCCAATTGGTAGTTGATCTAGAGTTTAGCCATTGGTTTGGAACTAACTCTAATATTCCCACTTGTAGTTATAAAATCATATCCAATTGGTAGTTGATCTAGAGTTTAGCCATTGGTTTGGAAGTTAGTTCCGTTAAATTTATTTAACTAAAATTATACGAGATTTAGTCGTGTTAAATTTAATTTTTTTTAAAAAAATATTCAAAACAATAGTATTTTAATTTTAAAAAATTAAAATAATATCATTTAAAATAACCAACCGAATTAGTTCCGATAACCATGTTACCATCAAATTGGGTTGGTATTTCCCACCTCAGCAATTTGATAAATTCTCTTTCAATATTTGCAAAGTAGCATTGCACATGTCTTCCATCTCTATGGTTTCGAATTCTTTGCTAGCTTTCGATATTTTACCACATTTTAATTTGGGGCTTTTGGAGAAAAAGCTCGAAAAGCCGAGTTAGAGATGCCTTGACAATTCTGATTGGGCTGCTTCTTAAGCCAATTTAGACAAGACCAAATTCTCTAATGGACAACTGCCGGCGTAGAATCTCAGTCTATTAAATTTTATTTATTTTTATATTTTAAAAATATTTTTAAAAAAATTAAATTTTATTTTATTTTTTTACTTAAAATTAATTTTTTATTTTTAAATTATTTTGATATGAAAATATTAAAAATAATTTTAAAAAAACCAAAAATATTATTTTAATATATTTTTTAACAAAAAAAATTATTTTAAAAAAACAGCACTATCACACTCTCCCAGTCTACATCTCTATTGCTGGTTTGGCTATTTTCTAAATTCAGGCGGACCAAATTCTCTCATGGACACCAGCAGGGGGTGAACTCCCCGTCTCGACCTAAAATGTCGATCTCTTATCTTTTATAGCATCAAAAAATTATTCATAAGCACCTACAGATTGGAGGGCCACAAATGCCCTTCCGTTGGGTAAAATGTCCCGAGCATGTTGCATCCCATAGAACACCCAACCGAGGAAAATCCAAAAGATCGCTCACAAAAATATCAAAAGTAAAAGAGCAGCTTATGCAGACAAGAAACAGAGATGATAATATCTGAAATGGATGTCAAGTGAAACCATTGTTCATGTAGTGAAAATAAGATTTTGGCAACTGATTCAAATAGATAAGGGAGTTCACAATAATAAAAATATTTGTAATCTAACAAAATCACCTCTAAACTTGTCTAGAGCAAACATTAATCATACCAAAAAATGGACCGATCCTGCCAAACCATATATAAAATTTGTTCAATGCTGCAAAAGTATGTTCATCGCTTCTTAGAGACACCAACAGTCTTTCCACGTCGGCCAGTAGTCTTTGTGTGCTGCCCCCTGACACGAAGACCCCAGTAGTGCCTCAGACCACGGTGGTTCCTGCATAACAAGGTCCCTATCAGATGGCAGGATTATCTTTCACTGATAGTATCATCAAGGCCATTTAACAGATTCATGTTACCAATTTTATTACCTAGGCCTTTAACAGAGATGCATTTCCCTAGAGAAAATTACACAAGAAGCTGCATCACAGCTATTTGACAGTAACGTTTAAAATGAGTTGTGAGCATGCAAATGTTGAGAAGCTAATAAATAGTCTACGTGGCAAGAAAAGCCTGTAGTAATTTGAATGACAATATTTTCAGTACTCTAAACAGCTTAACATATTTTCAATGAGTGCACTTTCTATCAGATATATTGATTTATGTACACAGAAAACAAGAAATTACCTGATCTTCTTCAAACGCTCCAAATCATCTCTCAACTTCATGTCCAGTGCATTTGACACGACCTGAGAATACTTCCCGTCTTTGTAGTCCTTCTGCCTATTCAAAAACCAGTCTGGGATTTTGAACTGGCGAGGATTTGCAACAATAGTCATGAGGTTATCCAACTCGACTGCAGATAGTTCACCAGCCCTAAGAATAATGAAGACAATTAAATTAGTCTTTCCGGGAAAAAAATGATACTTTAATCGATCATGACTAATTTAAAAAATTAAAACTCAACCAAAATCTGAAGAGATTTTATAAATTCCCAACAAATCATGATTAATTAATTCATTCTCATTCGATTTGAAACATCAATGACAAATGATCCCAGGTATTTCATCTCAAATTCCAAAGTTCACCAGCTTTCATTGTGCTCTTTACCCCCTAGCATGTCATTAATGACCCCCAAAGCAATCATACCTTCCCAAACATTTTTTTATCAAAAAATAATCATCATGAATTCGAAAGACATTTTAATTTTCCTTCAGGGGGTGTAAATGTTAAAGAGTTCTACCTTTCTTTTTACAAGGAAGCACTACCAACCCTCAAGTCTATAAAACCACAAAGAAACATGCGTGCTACATGCAAAGATACTCCAAAAATAACGGATATTAACCAAGAAAGAACAGCAATTTCCATTTAAAGGGGAATTTATACTTAAAAAACAAAATCAAAGTATTTACCCAAACAGATGGCTATCGTATGATTAAAAATCGAACCAAATAAAAATCAAACAAAACAATACAGAAAGAGAGGGAGACTGAGACCTCTTGTTCATATCAACATCGGCCTTCTTGCAGACAATGTTAGAGAAACGCCTGCCAATACCTTTGATTGATGTCAAAGCAAACATTATCTTCTGCTTACCATCTACATTCGTGTTCAGCACACGTAGAATGTGCTGAAAATCCTCGTTAGCCACCAAAGACTGTTTCACACATAAAACCCACATGCGACATCATCGATCAATTACAAAACACCACATCTGAAGTCAAATCTAATATATGTGTTTATTGCTATTATACATCAAGCATAATAAATGAAATTTGAGAGTCAGATATCGAAACGCTAATTTACCATTTTGTGTTTTCGAGAGGGGCGGGGCGAGGCGGGAACGGGCGGATTGTAGCAGAGGAAGAGTCAAGACAGCGAACGAGGGTTTTTATTAAAAAGTGTTTGGGTTTTGTTTTTTCAAAAGACGATTTTACCCACCAGAACTTTTCTATTTATTATATGACCCAATTCTTTTTTTTCCCAGGGTTTAAGGATATGAGGCCAGCTTCTCATCGGAGTTATGAATAAACCCGGTCCACCTAGCAGATTGATATGGAACGACGCCGGCCTCCTCTCTAGCCAAAGCCGGGCATAAAAAAATCAACTTAGAGTTGACATGCCAACCGGTTAGGTTTGATTTTTTAATATTTTTGCAAAACAACATCTTACTGTTTTATTTTAAATATTAAAATAATACTATTTTAATTAATTCAGTTTAACTCACCTAACTTACTAACTTGTAACGGGGACTTCAGGATTAGAAAGATTTAATTACTATGGTTTCCATACATGAGTTAATTGTACAAGACTTGACCTGGGAGTTGATGCAACTCAAGACCTGGATTGTAAATCGAGCGAATTAATTTGTATCAATTCAATTACTTGAAAGTTTAGAATCTTTTCATGAATGTTTTATTTGAAAAAATAAATAAATTTTCCATTAATCGAACTCAATCTAGGCCTTGGATTAACAGACCACAAGTGTAGTCAGGTCTTACAACTAGGGAGTCAGCTCCCTCTTTCTTAGGTAGTGTATTTTTAAAATTTATTTTTTATATTAAAAGCATCAAAACAATTTAAAAACTTTAAAAATAATTAATCTGAAGAAAAAATAAAAATAGTAAAAATATTTTTTTATGAAAAAACAAACATTCTTGGTTTCTTAATTATTATTTTTTACTTTCAGCTTATTTGAAGATTTAAATACAAGTTAATACTCGAGGACGCGTGTCCAATTATTACAATCCATTTTTTATACTAGATAAGAGATGTCTTCGAGACAGATGATGGATCGGATCAAGGCAGGCAAAAAAGCTCTCTTCATCAGGCCCATTCATCCCTGTCACAAGGCACTGTCGAACCAGTGACTGGCACTAGGCCGCTGGGCTGGCATGGCTTGCCGTGGAAGCAGATTTTAGAAGAATGTTGTGTTTTTTTTTTAACATGTAGAAAAAAATAATGCACTACCCCTTTAGCATTCAATGAGAATTAAGATCTCATTTCTGATCGTATTTACAGCTCGTCACTCGCAATTTTTATAATCCACTAGGTTTTCCACGAAAGATAATTAAATTTTAATATCAGGAAAACATAAATTATCTTCATATCCATACCCATTTTTCTCTTACTCTTTGGGTATCAGAATTTATTTCCATGTCTTGATGCCCTAGTTTTCTGCTTTGAATGGGAAGGGGTCATTTCTTTGAAGGCCATGTCTTGGTTCAGAGTTCCAAGCAGAACCAGGGATGAGTAGTTATTGTTCTTGCAACCAGAGACAGAACTGAGACCAACAGTGGACCGAAATACAAAGACAATCTACTTCTGGAAACAACGAGAGAACCCGATGCCTTCTCAACCTATGCTATGGAAATTCAGATAGAACTTGTCCCCTCTGCTGTACACCAAACTGTTGAAGGAAACCTAATCCATCCATGTTGAACCTTGGCGTGAAAATAGGCATCTATTCGAACTAGATAAAATTAATATGGCCGTGTTGATTTGATTCACTATACACTGTTATACCTCAGGTTTTAAACCTAGAACAAAGTGAAAGTTAATTCTCTGGCCATCAGATCCTTCAATCAACTTAACATGGTCTCTACTTATATCTCTAAGTTTTCACTCATGGAAAGACCAATGATAAAACCTGCAATGGCTGGCAAGAGCTCATCAATGTTAAATGGAAATAGTACAGCCTAACTCCTTGGCAGCAGTATCAAGGTGATGAATGGGCATTCCTGTTGCGAGTCGGCTATGGGCTTCCCAAGTTAGGCACTTTTCTATATCAGCTTGCCAGTTGATGACATCGGATCTGAAATATTGATAAGAGGGTCCATGGATTCCATTCCTGTGTGTGAGTTTAGAAGCAGGTTTCATTGAACCAGTATGCTGAATATCACGTAGAACAGATGTGCTCAGAGCACGGACATGAGCACTTGGATGAGAAAGGCATCGTATAGTCGCTGGCAGACGACACTGCATGAATTGGCCCAAAAATCCCAATGAGCAAGCGTCATATTTACTCCCAAACTGGCATTACCCAATTCATAGTGTGCATATAAACACGCTCGTGTGTATGTGCAGCCTTCATACTAAATGAAATTGGATGTGTTAAAGAGGATATATTCACCTTTAAGAGGTTTGAAAGGCCATCTGCAACTGCAAATCCAGACTCCCCCCACTGCAGCACTGGCTGAACTGCTCTGGCTGTTGCTTCTAATAGCTGCCAAATTGAAGATTGAAAGATTAACCGCAATGAAGAACAACTTCTTTTTTTTTTGACAAAGGACTCCTGACTAAACTTGGAATGCAGCGAGCCTTCAGTCAATATAATTCTGATGTCTAACTTACAAAGAGCAGGTCACATATTCCAAAGTGAAGTGAAATCTTCTTTGGTAAGTTACCTCAAGCTGTGGTAAAGTGCAAGCTTCTCCATCAACAAGCATCCCATCTGTGGCACGTAAAAGTAGGTCTGATGAACTAGCCAAAATTACCACAGATTCTGGGGTATCATGATTTCTCATCAGCTCAACAATCAACTTGACAATCCGCTGGTTGATTCTCCACATCTTCTGACCTGAATCATCATCTTTGGCGATCCAAGGCTGCAATTCCCTCTCCGCCTAACAACGACACAGAGAAAATGAATAAACAAACAAAGCAATTGAATCTTAAAGGAAAATAAAATAGAACAAAAAAAAACAGGATGCTAACTTAACAACCAACAGGCTACACTTCCAAATTTGGGATCAAAATAATTGCAGAAACTATTTAAGAAACCATGTTTTGCACCTTCCCATTTTCTAGGTGAGTAAGTTTTGCATTATCAAAATAGGTAGTTTTGAATTTTTATTGTATTTCCCTATTCTGAAGATGATGCCACCTTGGAAAAAAAAAATGGGCGGTTTCAAAATGACAGGCTAAACAGTAAAGGGTAAACAATTGCATTTTACAGCATAATTACAAGAAAGACAAAATTTAGACCTGAAGAACAACTGCTGTGGCTGCTATTGTTGGTGATGCTGATACAACATTGCATAGCGCGTCAACAACCTGAATACATGCTGACAAGTTAGAGGAAGCTCTCCCAAAGAAAATAATGAGAATCTAGATAAAATATAGCCTGATGGATCTATCAAATCCATTTCCCCGCAACTGGGAAGCACCTCATGCTTCCAAGTCACATGTTAAAAACTTTTAAATGCCCATTGAGTGTGTGTGTGTGTGTGTGTGTAGCATGAAACCTTTTATATAAAATGCATTAAAGCTTCTAACTTTTATTTCCAATTTTAAGGAAAAGTGATTAGAACATGGAGTATGACCTGTCTCCATCCTTGATGAGCGGAAGTGCTTTCTGCACTAGGTTGAGTTTCGGGTGATGCAATTAACTTGTGCCACAACAGAGAAACAACAGAGAAACATAACTCTTGCTTCTCTGGAAGCACTGATCTCAATAGAACTTGTGCACTGCAATTGAATCCAATATGCCTGTGCATTGTTAAGAAATTGGCCAAATCTGAAGCATCCAATGGGAATCCAGCAATACCTTTTCCCGAAGTGCTTCCAGAGCCTTCTTCTGAATGTGATTCTCTTTCACATTTAAGTTTCGTTTCTGAATGAACTAATTCTGTGGACTGCACGGCAGATGATTGCCCTGAATTAAAGCAGGCATTGCTTGCACTTCTATTCTGCTTGTTACCATCAAAACACACAAGAGAATCTTTCCACACTGGTGGGTGAAAATGCGCTCCTAATGGCTCAGCTTTGTTAACTATGGATGCAACAGCCTTACTGTGAACATCAATGAGGTTATATAGTGAGGACGCCCTGGTGTAAATTTCATTATCCCACTTGCATCGCATCAGAACAGAGAGTGCATGCATGCAAGCCTTTGAACGTCTAAATAGTTCAGAAACATGGGCAGCAACCATAGCTGCAGCGACTATCTCATTTGAACTATAACTCCAAGATGTGCCAATAGTAGATGGTTTTAGAGAAAAAAGTGCCTCCAAAATAGCTAAAATTCTGTGAGTATGATGGATTGCAGAGTTGAGACTAGTTTGGAACTCACTAACAGTTCCATTCAGTTTTGCAGGCTTGGCTACAGTCTCTGCATGTTTAGAAGTTGAATGGTTACTCCCCCTGGAAACATAGGGGAATATTTGAAGCTCACAAGCCAGAGCACATACAGCAGCTAGAACATAAGAATCAAACGCTGCAACTGGACCTTGTTTCTTCATCCTTCTAGATTTCATGTTTCTTCGCATTTCAGATGTTGATTGTGAGTCCTCTGTGCCATCCTCAGGCAGATCGTTTTCTTCTCCTCTTGGTCTCTTGCTCCCACGGGAATGAGCTTCGTGACTGACACACACAGTTAACACAACAAATAGTAGTCGCGATGCAAGCTCTACAGAAGCACATGATTCTAGAAAGAGCGAGTGGACCATAGTACGAAGCTCTGCCACAGCAAGGTTTTTGGAGGCAGGCCCTAAGCTGGAAAAATATCTTGTTTTTCTGGTCTGTTCTCTAGAAGACTCCGGCGGAAATGTTCTCTGAAGAATTGCTTCCACAGTGGCAACAAATATCTTCATGAGGCATGCTTCAGAAGGACTTCCACTAGGAAGATATTCCAGGACCTTAAGGAGAGGTATATACAGATTCCATGACAATATTGGAGGTTGCAATGGTGTTGCAACTATGATTTCAGGAAGATCAACTGCAGAGGAACTTAAAGGAATCAAACCGTAAGCAGCTTCCCAAATGGTACAAATTCTCCATTCAACCTCAGGTCCATGGGCACATAGCATAGATGCAATTCCCTGGGCAGTTGCTTCAATAGTCGCTTCAGCTGCAGGCACTTCTATCTGTTACCATGTTCAAAAATGCAACAAAGCAGACATTGTAGTGCTTCTCATAGCT